ATAAGCTTTTCAAGGCAGGAAACATTTAACTTTTGTGAGTCAGTCTGTTGCCATTATTTTATGAATTTTAAAAAGCAAGTACACATTTTTTTTTAACTCAAATGGTTAGGTGGAAGGCATACTAAAACTTGACATTTTACTGCATTACTATATTTAGGATTAGCATAAATCACTGTGGTGAATTATCTTAATTGATTACTTGTGAATCAAATTAACCTGGGCGGAAGCCAGGGCAGGGTGGCATCTTATAGATTAACTAGTTCAAAGAGGCATGAGCTCTTTTAGACTACATCCTAGTTCATCAAATGTCATGAATGGATTATGAATTAACAATGAATAGTAGGTATGGATAGAAAGGAGACCAGGCATGGTTTGAAAACAAGGTAATCCATGCATGCTTTTGAACAGTGATTTTTTTTTTTATATTGTCTTGTATGTCAAATACATCTAAAAGTAATATAAAATATGTTTTTGAAAATCCTGCTGGTTGCCAAATTTCAATCTGTTCGAAGGGAAAAAGTCTAAAAGCATTATCTAAATGAAAGTCTGAGTTAGGATTTTTCAAAGGTGCTAAGGGAATTAGGTACCTAATTGCAAATGACTTTCAAAGGGAAATGAACACCAGGATTCTTCAAGCAGATTTGGTGTTCCTACCTTAATGTTAACTAAATAGCTGTGCCTGTTTGGAGTATATGATTTTACTGAAATCTTAACACACTGAGCTTCTTTAAGAAGATACACCCCTAAAAAGTGTGCAGGCATGAACTTATTGCCATCTGCTTTTTTTAATATTTTAAATGGCTCTTGTCCAAATCTTACAAAATAAAATGACATGGTACTTTTGATATGGGCAGGATCTAGGTGCTGAGCTAACTTTTGGAAAAAGGAATCAAAATCTGAAATTCAGAAGTCTGTAGTCAGAGAATCAAATATGGTCTCTGAATCTGTAACCCAAGCTTAAGAAACATGTTTATTTCTCTTTTTGAAAATGTGGGCTTAAAATTAAGGTTATTAGTGGTCATTATTCAACCAATGGCTGTTGTTGGCAGCCTTTTACATAAGGCAAGAAATTTATATTAAATGAACTGAATATGTTAATATTTTGTTTTATCGCTGTATAATTGATGTGTAATTATAGCAGATATGCACTCCCCTAGTTCATTTGGAATGTGTTGCTTTTCCACACTTTTCCATAAATGTAATTAATCAGTCAGAATTGCAAAGAACCAGAATCCGTTATTTGGTGAAACGGTATTCATGCATTAGGATTAACAGTTACTCATCAGTCACATAATCTTATTCTTCATGAATATTACACATGCCCCAATTTCACTGAAAACTGTGAATGTCTCATAGGGATCGTCTCACTTCATTGGTTTGAAAATGTGGGGGTTTTTTTACTTTATTCCTCACATGGCTTTTTGCGGAAGCTGACTTTTCCTTCTCTTGCCCGCTAGGTGTGCTTACGTTAGTTGAAAAAAGTATTTAAAAGAACAGCAGTAAATATGCACACGTGTATTAGTGATACCACTGATAGGACTATATGAGTCCTGCAAAGATTAATAAAGATGAAATAATGAACACGGTATTTGTGTTCTGTTTTATATGAGTAATTGAATATTCAAGAATTCAGTCTGGAGGAAATATTTACAATTACCTGTTTTCCTTAACATAGGAAATTGCTGCACGTGTCAATCAGTGTGCTCTTGAGGCTGTCACGCCCTCTCCTTCCTTCCAGCAGAGACATGAGAGCATGCGGCCAACTATGTAAGTTACAGAACCGGGGGATCATTTAAAAAGCACATTTTTAACAAGTGTCCAGTAAAGGCATCTTCAAGGATGGCAGGATCTACAGAAACATTTTCTCCTATTTCCAGTAACCTGCTAATAGAGTGAAAAAACAAACAAACCCCAAGTTCGTGAACAATGCATTCAAATACTTTTTTGGTAAATAGTTTAATGTATTAAAAGTGAATGATCCAGCTTGCTATTCTGATTTTAACAGTTTACCATATGCCGTATTTTCTCACGTACAACACAAACCTTTTTCCTTAAAATCAACCTGCCAGCTATGGGGTGCATACATTAAGTAGGGAAGCTGATTTTCTGACCCAGATAGAAGCACCTTGCTGTGATTAATGCCCACAATACAGCAGATGTTGTGTTACTTTTTAGTCTTCTACAGGTGTCAGTTGACTTAATGGTTTATTGTTCTTCACTCCAGAGGTGTTAACAACTGTGTTGCCATTTAATGGTCTTGATGTTCCACTAATCAAGCTAGCCTTTCTTAGGATAATTTTACTCTCTGGTAGCTGGTCCCAGTCTCTCTTCCTGTTTCACAGCCTTTAGCTTTTTTCAAAACCATAGATCCACTCATGGAGACCAGTCTTTAGCAACAGCTCAGGTTTCAGCTTTAGTTAAGTAGGAAAGGGAGAGCGAGTCAGCTGAAAATTAAGCTCTGTCCCTGTTCTATCCAGCTATAATTCTGGAAAATATTTTTTCCCCTTCATTCTGACTTTCAGAAACAAGGTATAGTCTGCATGTGAGAGAGTACACTATGTCATATGACTTAAGATTTCACATTCTGGTATGTTGTCATCAAATACAGTAGTATATTATAAAAATTGACTGAGAAGCTAGACTGTATTCCTTTACTTTATAGTGACAGTCTTGTTCCTCAGCAATTTCTTTTACCTAATACTTGATTTGTTTTAGTTCCTTGTTTTGAAATATTACATTTGTGTCCACCATGGAATCTCATTTGTTGTCCAGAAGAATTGGAACAATCTTCTTTGCTCTGTTTTTGTTTTAGACAATCTTGTCCTCCCACTGCTCGAACTAGCAGCTCTGGGTCACTGGGATCTGAATCGGCACCTTTATCAACCCTTTCCTTGGATTCACTTGTTGCCCCTGACACACCTATACAATTTGATATAATTTCTCCAGTTAGTGAAGATCAGCCTGGCCAAGCAAAAACTTCAGGGCAGTCTGGCAGGTAGGCAGACCAGTTCAGAGAAAACTCTTTAAATTCTTCTGTTTTATAACAATGAAAAAGTACTTCAACACTGTCTTTGCTCAGATTTTCTCTTGTAACAAGTGTACAAAGATCAGGTCTGCAAAACAAATATTTTTGTCAAATTGTTCTTATAAAAATGCCACACATCTGTAGGATTCAAAACATTGTTTTCATTTTTGCAGCAACTTTTCTCAGCTGATGCTTCTTAATC